AAAAATAGAAATGGATGAAATTAACAGAAAATCTGTCTCCTTTTAAGCACATCAATAAAAGATGGGCATCTCAAAATATTTGCACAGAGCTGAAAGCCATGGCAACCGATTCTTTCTCGTTTTTTATTGTTATAAATGAGCAGATGGGACAGAGAAAAGGTAAAACATATGGTTCTCAGTTTTAATCATCTGAATCTGAAGCATATTGTTGAAAAACATTTTTTTTTTCATCTCCTGCAGTTTTCTCATAACTTCTTTTTATTTTGTGATTTGTTTGAGTAACAGGGAATTAGGACTTTTTTTGGGATCAAACCACAAATTTTCATATTTTAGGGTGACTGTATTTAACAGACCAACACAAAGTAGACCTTACATATTTATTTGTAAAGCATATTTTACAAGTAAGGCATATTTTTTGGATCTTTTACAGAGCGAGTGATCTTTTACTGGGTGAGCCCTGAGCATAGGGCGACAGTGGTTTCAGGTGTAGAAGTTTGCCCTGAAATCGAAGGATTGACGGTTCAAGCCCGGGCTCCGACTTTCAGTGTCGTGTCCTTGGGTAAGACACTTCACCTGCATTGTCTACTATTGTTGTCAGAGAGCCTGGTGGCGCCAGTGTACGCCCCAGGGCAGCTGTGGCTACAATGTGTGTGAGTGTGTGCATGAATGGGTAAATGACTGAATGTAGTGTAAAGCACTTTGGTCAAGTCTCCTGACTTGAAAAAGTGCTATATAAGTATAGGCCATTTACTGATGAAAACCTAAAAAGTTTGGTGTACATCAGTATTCTAAGTCAATGTTTGGTCTAGAACTACCATCTGCTGTAGTCACAGTTTAAAGAACGTCTAGGATGTCTGTACATAAAGCTACCAATATTTTTGCCTGTTCTCTATAGCCAAAAAACCTGAATCCCATCAGGAAGGATACAGATAATGAGCAAACAGTAGTTCTAAGGTCTTGCCCCAGATTATGACATCTTATGTCTAAAAACTTTATTAAAATCAGTGAAAAAAGGGACTCTTGGAAGATCAAATATCTTAACTAAGCATTTTACTATTGTTTTACTAATAACGGCTTTATTGTATATCATTTTTATTCACCGTCTCATTCAAAAATATATTTTGAAAACTTTTTTTTTTTATTAAACCGTTGATAATATATGTTTTTTAATTATTTATCATTTTATATTGTTCTATACATATATGCTCCTTGTTTTTATATTTACCTGATCTGGGCCTGGAGATGAACAACTGCCTTAATGTCTAAATCTGTCCAAGTTGCATCTCATCCAGTCTTAATAAATATGCAATGTGCCACTTTAAATCACCAACGATTAAATTCTCAGTTAGATGTAAGTCAGGACTTTCACTTAACTGCTCCTACACTTGAATATGTGACTAATTGAATAAGGCTGCATAGCACTTAGCATATGTACATCGTCATCGCAATATCATTGTGTGTTATGTTCATAATCTAAAGGACTTATTTGAGTTCCTTCATTTCAGGCTAATATATTCCAGCTGTTATAAACTTAGTTTTCATATTCCAGTGTAACAATAGTCCTAATGAATAGTATCACGGCAGCAGTTGCTCACACCAATGACATTGTCTAAATTGATAATACGGCAATAGGAGAACAGATGTAAAGTTACAGTTAAACTGGTCATTTTTCATGACCAGTTTAACTCCTACTATTTACCTTAGTGTTTTCTGATATTATATAGCCCTATATGTGAAAGTGGTGAGCTATTCATCCTGCAGAAGGTTAATGTTCACCCTAGTCTCAGTGGGTTAAAGCAGCAGGTCCTGTTTCCATTCATCTTCATGTCAACTGAGACCTGGTTTTGAGTGACTTCCGAAGAGAAAACATCTCCACAGCATTATACTGCTAGCAGCGTGTTTCTCTATAGAGATGGCATGAACAAGTTGATGTCAATCGTCAGTTTTCCATCCACTAACCATTTGCATGTAGACCATTTTATCACCTTCTTCCAAATGTTTGCTGTGTCTCCTACATGGCATGTGTTAAATTAACAGGTCACCTTGCTTTCTTTCAGCATTGACCTTCCTCTTCCCACTCTACAGATTAGTGAATGCATGGCTAATACTTGTCCTTTCAACCTGTTCTAACCAGGTGAGGACTTAAGCAACACTTTAAAACTTACTTATAAACACAGTGACCTTTTTTTAGGGTGACATTCACTTAGAGATGGTGCAAAACAAAGAAATCTAAAAACGTATTTCAACACGCTATACAATTTCTTTGTTAGGAACATAATACGTTTGTAAGGAAGGGAATATAGATTGTTTTTAAGAAGTAAGGTTAGTGTTGGTTTGTTTGCAGAAGCTTTAATTGGATTGTTTTTACTGAGATGACGGCACGTCTCCTGCATGTAATAGAGTTAGTCCAGGATGTGTTGGCTTCTGAAGGTGTAAGTTCATTTTAAATAATCCTTCCAATAAAACAGTGAAGCAGGTGGAAAACAGGTGGTGTGTTGGTGCTTCTGGCTGATGGAACTGTCAGGACTAATTTCCCCGTTTGCTTTGTTTCTTTGTCTTACATTTAATAACAAGCTGTTAAGCTTTCCTTTTCATTTTGCTGCCTGCAGATTCACAGCCTTTCTAATGAATAGAAACCATGAATGTTTATGTGCTTGTGTGCGTGCAAACAATGCTTTTGTTTGTCCCTGATAAGCATTTTGTATTTAATGTTTGAAGAGCACATATTGGATTGCTGGAGGTCTAAAGATGTGGTTCATGGTTTAATTTGGAGTAAAATAAGCTTTCTCTGTATTTTCTCAGCCTGCATGCCTAATGCGTACTTTAGAAGTTCTAAAGGAGTAAATAGTTGACTTTAAATAGTTTTCGTGCAATTTCCGAATCAATACGAACCTTGACACAATAATAGCAGCGGAAACCTGGAGAAGATGTGTTGTCTCTGGAACAAATGTTTTCAAGGCTTTTAAAACGGATACACTTTTTAAAGAGGTATCATTTGTTGCGCAGGAGTGCTTTCACCTCCATCTCCTTTTCAATTTCAACTATCTTGTTTTCCACTGCCAGCGCATATATGAGTGCACACCTAAGTACAGAGAGATTGTATTCCAGCTCTGTTTTTTGGCCTTTTCAAAACGATGATTCTGGCTTCTCCCGGAGGATTTTGCAGCAGAGGTGAACTGAGCCACGAGGACGTCTGGACAAAGGCCTGATGGATTAGGGTTGTTGTTTTCACGTCGGAGCTCCGTGTCTGATAAACAAAGTCAATGCAGATTGGGCGCACAGCTGCTTGAGCTGCAGTTATTGCTGTTTGGCTGTCATCACAGTGAGGGTGCGCCGCCCGCCGTGTTTTGCTCCCTTGCTGTTTTGGTGTTGCATTGAAGAGCGAAATATGATGGGGTTGAAGGGGGTTACAGGTGTGGTCCATGTGCTGAATCAGCTGAGAGACGGAAAATCAAGGCAATTAGAGCTTTGGTGGCGCATGTGCATATGTGTGGGATGTGCATTTGCTGTTGGAGAATTCAGGTATGACATCAGTGCTCCTTGGCACTTGTAACTTCATGTTAATGCAATAGTTCCCTGCATACTCCGGCCTGAGGTTATTATGCTGAAGGTGTAACACTCCCTGGGAAATATTCATAATTATGTGCATTTTCAGATTCTGAATATATATGGAAATGCTTTTTTTATGGAGAGCAGACCAAATGTTAAAAAAAACAATTCATCCATTTTCTATTTAAACTTCATTATCACAGAGTAAAAGTTGGGCAGGTCACCATATTTATGTCAATAGGCTGCACAGGTCGGCACAGAGACAGACAAATCTGACCTACAGTACACATATGCATGGACACT